ACCTCCCCTGCCTGATGCAAGCCAGGATTTATGTTGCTCAGGCTTGAACTTTGCACTTTGCTTTCACACAGCCCTGGCTGAGCTTGCCATAAAAGAAAAGTCCAGGCTGGCAAAGCAGAGTCCGGTGCTGATTCCAGCCGTGCCTGGATCTGCTCATGCTTCCAGCTCGTGGGTTACAGTCCTCTCTTCCAGGATTGCACTTTCCCAAGTGCATAAGTCCAGAAAAATATCAGTGTGTGTGACCAGGAAATGGGGCAGCTCATGACACAGGGCTTGGATTTTACACAGCTCAGCACAAGTGGGAGTAATAACGTGGATCGGTTCTTGGAAATGGGGGAGAATTGAAGAATCGTGGAATCACAGGCTGGTTTGTGTTGGAAGGGACCTTAAAGATCATCTCATCCCACCCCCTGCCACGGGCAGGGACACCTTCCAGCACCCGTCCAACCTGGCCCAGAACACTTTGAGCACCTTGAAGGGAGGTGGATTTGTATTTCTGTCTCATTCCCAATGACTCAAAGATCAGGGCAGGGATTTGGGAGTGGGACAGAAGTCCTGAGAAGAGAATCTTTTAAAGCTTGATGTTTTACTGGTGCCTGTGAAGTGACACATGCAGGTGCAAAGTTGTGTGGCAGGGAACAATAAAAATAAAATCCTTAACCTCTGTCCCGTGCTGGTTTTACACCTGAGTGTAACCTCCACTCTGAGGGGAAGAGCTTCAGACATGAGTAGTTTGAAATGAGGTTCCTGGAACAAGTTACAAGCTGAAATATTACAGTTTTTTTACTGTTTTTTTCTTAAGGAAATACTTGAACAGTTTTTTGCAAAGTGGACTTGATGATCTTAGGGGTCTTTTCTGACCTTAACACTTCTAAAATTGAGTTTAAATAGGAAGATTTTGGGGGTAAAAGCATCTGTATTTCTTTGGGTGAGGATATTCCCTGTTGGGTTTTTACATAATCCTGTATTAATGGCGAGGGAGTTGGGATTTATGTGCCTAATTTCAGGTGTCTGGAAGTTGTCAGGGTCTCAGCTGGGCACTGAATTTCAAGGAAGGGGCAGGTCCAGCCTGCAGTGGCACCACTTGTGTTGTGCTGGGTGTTCTTGGGGTTCTTCATCCCCTGCCTGTCCTGTCCTTACTTGTCCTTCCTGGCTGATCCAAGGACATCCTGGACAGCTAGGAGTGAGCTGCCTCCACCCTCATTTTATCTGATGGTTTCAATTTCTATTCCTGTGGCTCAAAACAACCTCCTGTTGCTCACTTCTGGATTTTTTTTCTGTAAGCTTCCCAATCTCCTGGCACTCAACCCCGGTGATCCCCTCTGCTCAGGTGGTGCAGAGCAGTGGTTTTCCACCTTCCTGGAGGTTTGCATCCCTGTGTGGGTTTGCTATGTGTGGAATTCAGGGTGCTATGGGCCATTACCCAGCACAGAGGTGGGGTTGGGAAAAGCACTGTGCCCCAGGAGAGCTTGGTGGGAGGCCTCGTGCCCCAGGCTGAACAAATAGTTCTGATTCCAGTAACGTGCTAAGAAAATAAAGCACCAGCAAGCCTCCCAAAACCCAGGGAGGGGACTGTTACAAAAGATTCAGAACAAAAAAAAAAAAAAAATCAGCCTGAGATGATAGGAAAGGAAATGGGCCTGATTTGGGGATGAATCAAAATGTTCTTCGGAATGAAACCCATAAAACTGCTTCCTCTTAATGGCAGAGAATTAACCGGTTAACGAGCCCTCAGAGATGCAATAAAGCTTTCAAAGCAGCTGAGAGATGCTCAGGAATGAGTTGAATGAATTCCTGCAGCTGCTGTGGTGATGAAATGTGCTGGGTCCCCTTCGGTGAGCCTTGTGCACTTTGTTTCTTGGAACTGCCTGATATTGGAGACAGCAAAGGGAGGGAGGGAGAGAAGGGTGGTTGATTTTGGGATGGGTGACTTGTCCAGCGCTCCATTGAAGAGGTGGGTGTTCAAAGGCAGCACCTGGCAGTGGATTTTAGCCACCTGCACTCAGCCAGTGACTTCACTGCAGGGAGATTTTCCTGGAGCCGGTGGCTCAGCAAAGGAAAAAACCCACCCCAAGGGTCAGGTTGTTGTTACCTGCCTGGGAACACAGCCCTGCAGAGGGCCCTGAGCTGGGCTGGATAACCACAGGCACCAGAGCTGGGCTCTGAGGCTCCCTGAGCACAGGGGGCTGGGGGAAGAACGGAGTGTTACCCTGTGCCCTCCCCAACCCTTTCCCAAAGTGACCTGCTGGTTGTCAGGACCCAGGTGCTGAGCTGGGGGGGGACCTTGTGGCTGTTAATGCAACCCCACGTGTGTCATCAGTCTGGGTGCTGTAATTGCAGGAAACCACAGTAATTAACTGACACGAATAGAACTTCAGTGTCACTGTTACTACATCCTAGAAGAGGAAATCTCCCTCAGTTCCCTGCTGTGATACCTGTCTGGCTCAGATCTGGCACGTGGTCTGGGATCCAGGAGCCAAACTCAGCTCCTGAGTGCTGAGGAGTTCACCTGCAGCAGGGCAGGGATTTGTGCAGCAGATGGAGACAGGGACTCAAACCAGCCAGTCACAGCTGCTGTAGGGGATGGTCTTGGCACACCTGACATTCACAAAATTAAGTCTTAGCTTGTGCTGTCATCCTGCCTTTTCATTCTGGAGGGAACAGACACTCTTCCCTCTATATGTGGGTATATCCATCTAGAAAAAAATGTGTATTTAGCTGAAGGGCTTGGGATTCAAAGGGCAGAGGGATGTTAAACACACATCCAGTTGTCAGGTGTCAGCTTTGTTCAGAAATCTGAAAAACCAAGTCACCACCCCAGCAAAGGGCCCTCAGGTGCAATTCCAGCCCTCCTTGAATTTCAGTGCCTTCTCCCACTGTGCAGAGTTCCCCCAAAATATCCACGATATATTTAGTTTGAAGAACACATCGTCCTGGTAACCAGATCAGGAGATGCTGGGAACAAGCCTGCTGGGATTTTTTTTTCAGGGTATACTAATTATTCTAACTGTGCCCAGGCTCCTCCATGATAAAAGAGTACTTTAGGGAGGGTGCTGGTGCTCCAGCCCTCACCTTCCCTCCTCTCCTGCTCCACACACCATCAGCCCAGGGTGCTGCTCAGCCGAGCTGGTCCGTAAATGCTGTTGTCCCATGGTGTGTGTTTGCACAGCTGGATAAGAAACCCCAGGAGGGGCAGATGGGCACACACAGAGCTCACTCCATGGCCAGGCCTGCCATTGGGAAGCACAGGCAGATGTTCCAGCTGTGCCCACGGTGGTCATGTGTGTGAGTATTCACCCTTCCCTGGTGGGAACTTGGGCAGGCAGGGAGCGTGCTGTTGATTTATTTGCTTTTGGTTTATTTATTTGCTTCTTGGTTTATTTACTTCTTGATTTGTTTGCCTATTTATTTATTATTTATTTATTTCAGTGTGTTCTACACTAATTTCAGGGGGACCCCTGCTGAGGTTCCAGGATGGAGCACTGTGGTCTTTGGGATTTGCACCATTAGCAGATCTTGTCACAACAGTTGAAAACCTGGGGAAGCTCCTTTGCCCTCTCCTGTGGGACTCTGGCATCCAGGCAGCTGGAAATGCCCACAGCTGCCTCCTGACATTTCCTTGCACCTACAGGGACAGCAGAAGGTGGTTTTCCTCCCCCCAAACAAGCAGCCCTTGGTTTCCAAAGCTCTTTGCTTAAAGTGTGACTCTTCTTGCCCCAGAGTCTGCACCTGGCTTTGGAAAACAGTGGGAGATGCTGGGAATGTAACACTAGAGCCTGACTCGTTAGTTCTGGCTGTCTCTTGGTGTCTTGGAATATCCCAGGTCCAGGGTGTAATCTGCTGCAGCTGAGCCTGTGTGACTGAGAGGATTTACAGGGTTCATCCCCTCCTGTGCTGGAGTGCAGGCATGCCCTTATCCCAGGATACACCTGCTGGTGTCCAGGGAGCCACCTCAGAGGAGTCCTTTCTCCAGCTGGGAGGGTTTGCTGCTGGGAAGGCAGCAGGGAAGGGGCTGGGGGGAGATGGAGCAGCCAGTGCAGCAGAGCTGGCTGGCAGATGGCATTTGCTGCCTGATCTGAGGGGATTTGCCACATGACCTGTTCAGAATCTGTGTCACAGGGCAAAGTGATCAGACCTGGCATCTCCTGTAAGAATAAATCTGCATCAGCAGAGGAGCTGTGGCTAAAAGGTGGCTGGCACAGGGATGCCCAGGGAGCCCAGCTCCTTCCATGAGGATTTGCTGATGCTCACAAGAGCTCTCTCCCGATTTTCTCTCTGTGTTCAGGGCAGTTTTATCTCTCTTCTATAAATCCGGTGATTTGCTCCTCCTTAAGCTCCCAGGGATGGACACAGAGCTCCAGCAGTGGCTGTGCATGAGGCTGGGAAGCCAGCTGGAAGGAATCAGTTGGTGAAGCGGCTGGAATATTAACTTGACACCTAATTATGTCCTCTGGGCTGATTTTTCCATTCTGTCATGCCCTGTTCTGTCTGCGCTTTCTGTGAGTGGGGGATATTGTGGAGCTCTCTGCATCCAGCCACACTCCAGCACACACTGGGAAGGAAATTATCAGTTGTGAAGTTGTAAAGACTCTCCTGGCTGTGGTGCCAAAAGTAGCATCTCCCTGGTGTTTATGTTTGCTGAAACCAAGCAGTTGAGGTTAATCCTGTATAGATTTGAAAGACAGTGTTTCTTCCATTTCAGAGCTCTTCTGGGATGGTATTTAACACCATGGGAATCGTGATGGGACCTGTGCTGTCTCTGCTTGACCAGAATTGACTTTTTTCAGTCTGATTTGTGTTCTGGCAGTTCTTTATTAAAATAAACACCTCTGACCAGTTCCCACACCAGCTCTTGAAGTAAAATTTCTTCCAGGCTTTCTCCTCTAAGGAAGAAGTAAATCCGTGGCCCAGCTGGGGGTAGTTTATGACACCTGACAAGACCACAGCCTGAACAAGACTTTAATAACCTGCTCAATTAACCAGCAACTGCTGTCCTCCAGTCCCCCAGGTGCTCAAGAGCTGCACAGAGTTCATTGAGAAGCACGGCATCGTGGATGGCATCTACCGGCTGTCTGGGATCGCCTCCAACATCCAGAAACTCCGGTAAGGGCTGGGGGTGCCCCCTGAGTGCTGGGCAGGGCACAGGCTGTGCCTCCAGGGGCACGTTCCCTTGGCAGGAAGCTTTCCTTCGGGATGGGATGTCAGGATCACAGTGTCCCTCTGTGCTGTTGTGTTTCATTCCTGCTCCTTCTCGCTCCTGGAGCCCTTTCCTCGCTCCCTGTGCTGCCTTGGACTCCTGATTGATTAGCAATTATTTGGGAATGTGCAGAGGGTACGGGCCTGATTCCTGGGGGTGGCATTGCTGTGCTGTGCAGGGAGAGGCCAGGTGTGTGTCCTGCAGGTTGGGAGCTGTTCCCATCACAGGAAAGTCTCTTCTATCCCTTTGTGAGGCTGTTTTTCCTCCTGCCCTTTGGTGTGGAACGTTCTGTTGTGGAGGGACTGAGAATGCCAAGTGGGATGTGACTAGTTCCAGTGCTGATCCTGAGAGAGGCAGCACAGGGGGATTTTCCATGTGCAGAATATCCTTTTTGAACCAGCTCTTCCCCAGCTCAGTGGGCAGGTTGGAGCTGGGACGGTGGCTGTACAAGCCCCTGGATGGATGGGTTTATTCTGGTTCAGATTAATCCTGTTTCTCATTGCAGCAAGTCCCATTTAAAAAATGCTCCTGAGGGGTTTTTATGCAGGATCCAAAGGCTCCCATTGGAGCTGTGGCCCACAGCAGTCCTGGCTGAATTAAACATTTGCCACTGCTTCAGTCATATCCCTTTAATTTGCCACTTTGACTTTGCTGGACCATCCTAATCTCTGCCTTAGTCCATTTTTCCCCTTTTTGTTGCCAATACCATTTTCTCCTTCGCTGTGTATCAAGGGTGCTTTAAAGATGGTTTTCTAAGGCTTTAATGGCATCATTCCCTGGTACAGTGCAGAGACTGAAGTGACAGTCTGTTTTCCAGCTTTCTGAGATGTTCCAAAGACAGAAGGAAAGGAGTACATGGCGTTTATTGACACTGCCCCTGTTCATCTAAATCACTACAGATTTTCAGTGTTTGATTAAGGCAGGGCTCGCTGTGTTGCTTTAGTTCCCAGCTGTATAAACAGGGCATTAGGCTCATTTCAGAGCTAGAGCTGCAGTGTCCTTATAAATGACTCACTCTGCTGAGGTCTCACATAGGAGAGCTGGATCTCCTGGATTTAAAGGGCTTTTTGGTTGGAGAATTGATTCCACGGGACAGTGGTTGGCCCTTCAGCAGGGCAGGAGCTGCCTCTGTGTGGCAGGGGGGCAGACAGAGCCAGGGTTGATTTGGGGTGTTCATCCAACCCTGTGTCCTGGCTCTTTTTGGGAGATGTGAAGTTGTGTTCTACTAACAAGATCTTCCTTTAGGGTCAGAAGAAATAACGTGTAGTCCTTGAAACAGCCAGTCCAGAGAGGGGAAAGGCTGGAGGTAGAGGGGCTTCTCTTCACTCCATTCCCATCTGACGTGGTGGGGGATTTATTCCTCGGAAAATACACTGGAGTGGGGCAGGATGTGAGCAGAGGATTTGAGTGTAGGGGGTGGGCTGGAACCTGTCCCTGCTGTCCCTCCTGAGCTTTTCTGTGGAGCCAAGTGCAGGGAAGAAGTTTCTGTCCCAGGTGTGAGCAAGGGGTGAGTCAGTACCTGTGGAAGTGGTGTGTGCTGAGCACCAAGGGCTGTGGCCACAGGGAACCCGTCAGTGGGGTAAGACAGGGCCCTTCCTTCCCCTCTGTGCTGCCTTGGGCATGAGGAGCAGGGCTGGACTGTTCACCCTCTCCTGCCCCTCAGTCTGGCTCGTCCTGATGCTGAGGGATTTGTTACCAGCCCTGGGCAGGGGGACAGACAGGATCTGCTCTGTGGGCAGGGGGACAGACAGGATCTGCTCCGTGGGCAGGGGGACAGACAGGATCTGCTCCGTGGGCAGGGGACAGACACGATCTGCTCCATGGGCAGGGGACAGACAGGATCTGCTCCATGGGCAGGGGACAGACAGGATCTGCTCCGTGGGCAGGCTCAGTGCTGGAGCTGTGCTGAGGGGCTCTGTTACCCTCTGGGTCACAAACTGCCTGCTTTGGATGCAGGAGAGACCAGGGGTGTTTCCACCAAGCCCAGACACAGCTGTGGGTGCAGTGCAGGCAGGATCAGCCCTTCTGATCCTAAAAACCCTCATAGGGACCCCGAGGTCCAGCAGGACCAGCTCCCAGCTCCCCGGCCTGACTCACCCTGCAGATCTGGCCTAATTTGAAACAGCACTTTCCATGCACGTATTCCAGCCCTTGGCCTTCTAAGCTCAGCTTTTATTTCATAAATGGTTGTGATTTTGTTTTTTTTCCCCTCTTTCTGAAAACCAAGGGAGTGCTCAGGGATGTTCTTCATGTGGTTCCTGGCTCTCCTCACCCCGTGGCAGAGGCAGGCTCAGCTCACCAGTTTGTCCCCCGGGAATTCTGCACACGCTGGTTTCCATGTGCTGCCCTTGGCACTGCTGTTGGCATGGCTTGATCACTGCAGCTCCCAGGCCTTTGAAATGCAGAGGGACAGCTTTCATCAGACCTGTGGGCAGTCCCAGGCACAGCCCTTGGGAGTTTAGCAGATTGTCCTTGTGGTCTTGGGAGGCTTCCTCTGAAGCCTTTGTGAAAAAAGCTCTGATGCAGCAGAAGGGGTTGCAGCCAGCTGGTTGTAAAACTCGCTGAAAATGCCTTATTAGAAAAAAATAAAGTCTGATTTTTGGAAAAATCCCCTGTAGCAGCCCCAAAGCCGTGTTGTCACGTGGCTTCGATGACTAAGAATTTATTTTTTCCTGTAAATCAGGAAACCCCTGTTTTGCTTGACTGTAATTTGCTGGGTTTGATTTCACTGCTCCTCCTCCAACCCCTTGGCCCGTTTCTCGTTTGCAGCCACGAGTTTGACTCGGAGCAGATTCCCGACCTGACCAAGGACATTTACATCCAGGACATCCACTGTGTGGGTTCCCTGTGCAAGCTGTACTTCCGAGAGCTCCCCAACCCCCTGCTCACCTACCAGCTCTACGAGAAGTTCTCAGTAAGTGTGAGGCAAATCCCACCTCAGTGGGACTTCAGAGGAACGCTGGAAGGTGAACCTGCTCCCACATACCTTCCTCTGTTTGCTTTTGCTTAGTCTGAGGGTTTGAGAGCAGTCTGAACAGCACATCTCCAAAATCACCAGCCTGACAGCAACTGGTCTTGGCTGCCCACACACCAGATTCCCCTCCTGCCGTTCCAAGCAGGAGGTGCCCAGAGTTTCGAGGTGCCTTTTCTGTTCCCCTTTAGGTCCCTCACAAGTGCCTTTGTCCCCTGTGCCAGTGTCTTGATTCCACTTGCCCAGCAGAAAGTCACTGGGGGACACCAACCAGGAATTCCTGATGGTTTGCTGTTCCCCAGTGACGTCTTGAGATCAGAAGCAAACGCTGCTTGGAGCTGCACAGACCTTCTGCAAGGAATTGCTCTGTGAAATGGAGCTCCAGAGTGTCCCAGATGATGATTTCCTTGGCCTTCCTCACACGATCCGTGTCCCCAGGACAGACCCCTCACCCAAGGGAGGGAAGAGCAGCAGAACCCACCTCCCTGCTGAACAGCTGTGCACTGGCCACGTGGTGCAAGGGGCAGGTTTTTAGCTTTCTTTGCAGCTCAATCCCTCTCTGCCTCCTTCCAGGATGCTGTTTCTGCTGCTACAGATGAGGAGAGGCTGGTGAAGATCCACGATGTGATCCAGCAGCTGCCCCCTCCCCACTACAGGTGAGGGCCATTCCTTTGCTGGAATTTTGGGGGAGAAAAATGATAGGATTTCAGTTTCCCTCTCAGGATGTGCTTCTGCACGTTGAAATGGTTGTATAAAGCTGATTTTGTATTTTAATCAGCTCCTTACCAAACACTCCATTCTATACATGGTCTTACTTGACTTCCTTGGATAGTCTGTACAGGAGGGAAACACAACCTTGGTGTGTCAGAAATGGCTCATAAATAGTTTTATTGCTGGGTGGGCACAAAACCAGCTCTAGGAATGGTACTTTGAAAAAGTGAAATATTTCCAAAAAAATGAACATAATTTGTCTCCAGTTTCCCTCTCCCAGTAATAACAGTAACTAGCAAATAATAACAGTTGTCTGTTAGAATAGCTAATGTAAATTATTATATTAGTGGTATATATTAGAATAACTAACACAATAGGGTATTTAAAAATCACCAATTACACTGCTATATTCAAACTAATTAGTATTAGTAGCAATTTGTGCTATGGGGTAATGAGTCTTGACTAAGAATAATAACATTTTAACAGTCTTTAGTATTAAAATTTATGGCAGGGTATGGTAAAAAGGCATCAGACAAATTTCTATGGTGATTGGTTTTAATAACTGCATATAATACTGTATGTTAATGAGACTAATGTTAGTAACTATTAGTAACTAATACTGCATTATAATCACAATTGATTATTGTAATATATATTAATTTGCAGGGCTAGTTAAAATTCTGTGCCCTCAGTGCTATAGATGGCCAGTTGTAACACATAAAATCAATTAAATATTTAAATTTCAGTACTTGTGATAATGGTGATTAGCTGGACAACTTGCAATGCTGCACCTGAGTGCTATAAATAACTCATTATAATGGTTAACTAGGATTTAACTAATTGTTATAAGCTGCAACTGTGTGCTACTTGCTTGTTAAATAACATGGGCTAGTTAGTGGAGCAGCTGGTACTTTTAGTAACTAATTACAATATTTGTGTTAATTAAGGGGGGGCAGGGCCTTCTCAAAAATAAACTAATCTCCCTTGGTGCAGTTTCTGTGGGGCATTCCACCTTTTCCCTAGAATGACTTCTCCTCTATGGGCTGGTTTAACTGGGTGCTGGTCCTGGAGAGGAAGCAGAGCTAAGCCCTGGAAGTGGATGCTGGAGGTGCTCGGGGCTCTTTCCTCCTCTCCTCAGTTTGCTGGAGAAAAGGAAAAATAAAACAACACTTTATTATTCTGCTGCTCAGTGATGAGAAGTTGCAGGCAGGAGGTGTCAGCTTTGTTCCCAGCCAGAACCATCTGCCTTCCCTTCCAGTCCTTGTCCATTTGTGGAATTTTGAGCCCCTCTGTTCCATCTCCCCTCCCAAAGCCAAAGACATTCCCAAGCCCCAGCACTGAGGAGGACGGATCAGCATTTTCATTGCCACCTCCTGCTCCCTCCTCCCCAGGGGGTACAACAGTGTTTCATTAATGTATAAAAAGGCATTTTTTACCTGAGCAGAAGTCTCTGAAGTTTAACCTTGGACCTGCCTCATCGACCTCTAACAAAGCTGTAGCCAGTAATTTCATCAGTAGAACTCAGGCACAGCTTGCTGGTTTTTGGTATCCTGGGGTGTCAAAATCAATACTCCCCCTCTTCCCAGGACTGGCATTCCACATCCTCCCCCCTGAGCAGCTGCTCAGGGCTGTCACACACCTGCAAAGAGGATATTTTGGGGACAAATCAGGAGGGACTCCCGTCAGCCCACCCCTGTGTCACTGGTTGCTGGAGACACTCCCCATGGTCTGAGGGGAAGGAGTTCAAGCGTTTCTTTCTGGGAGCTGTCAAACCAAAAGGAAATAATGAGCTGGGTTTGCTCTGGGATCACAGCCTGGCTTTGCTCAGTGGTGCTGAACATTTGCCTCTCTCCCGTTTTCCAGGACACTGGAGTTCCTAATGAGGCACTTGGCTCGTCTGGCTGATTACTGCTCCATCACAAACATGCACACCAAGAACCTGGCCATTGTCTGGGCTCCCAACCTCCTCAGGTACCCTGGGCTTTTCCCTTTTCACTGAAGATAAGTCTTTATGTTTATAAAAACTAGACAGATATCTCTTCTCCGGAAAATCCTGACTTCCAGCAGCTGGAAAGAGCACTTCCTTTCTTCATCCAATGTGCTTCTTCCCCTGTAAAATATGGGAAAATACTCTAAGGAGGATTTAAGACCCAGCTAATGATGTAAAACAGTCCCCACTGTTGTCAGTGGGACCACCCCAAAAACATCCTGATGTGTTCTGTCTCACATGACCCAGTCCCACTGACTGCAGGTCAGTCAGTGGTAGCAAGTAAGAATTCCCTCAACTCTCTCTTCTAGAGGATAATTTCCCCTCTTCTGGTTAGATGAGACGAGTGTGTCCTTGATTATCCTAGGGAATTTCTTCAGTGGCATCACTGATTTCCCACTGCAGAAGCCTCTAGAGTCCAGTTTGACAGCTTGTGTTACAGGAATAATCTTGGATAAATCTGCCCCCTAAAATTTGTTTTGAATGTGCATAATAGGGCAGTTTGAAATTAATGGTGTTACTTAACATTTTTGCTTTAAAAGAAAAAATAGTGTCACCCTGCCCTCTATTGTATTGATTTCTGAACTGCTTCTGTTGCTGAGCTGAGAAATGTCCTTTCCCAGGTCCAAGCAGATCGAGTCAGCCTGTTTCAGTGGCACGGCTGCCTTCATGGAGGTGCGGATCCAGTCGGTGGTGGTGGAGTTCATCCTGAACCACGTGGATGTTCTGTTCAGCTCCAAGCTCAGCTCCGTCATCCGGGACGGGGCAGGTTTGTGTCCCGCTCCCCTCCCCACACAAGGCACTCAGTGGACATCTGAACCTCCCCTGGGACAGTGGAAAGATGGGTTTTTTCTGACTTAGAGGACACATTATGATGTCAGAACCCAACAAATGCGGCCTAGTTGTAGAAATTGCTGTCAGTCCCTTTCCCAGATGCCCCACAGGAGTGCACAGAGTAATGTTTGGCTGCTGCTTTTGTGTCCTACCACGGAGAAATCGCAAGGAATCAAAAAACTCTTGCCTGAAAAAAATTGGCCAGGAGCCAAAAAATTACTTGCTAGGCAATTATTATAGAGGTAAGATAATACAGCAGTTTTAATAGAAGGCCTTTAACCACCACGAGGGTACAGAGACGTGTCCAGGGGGTTCCACAATTTTTTTCCACCCCCCAGATCCTCCCCCTGGCATACCCCTCTGAAAATTGAGGTAGGGGGCTTGGGGACCCCCTCTTCCTCATCTTCCTCTTCATCTCTTCATCTGTCCCCCTCTGCCCCCTCTGCTTTTTAAAGCCATCACCATCGATCTCCATCTGTTTGAGCTCTCTCTACATTTATCCACGTACCTTAGAACACCAGTAGGAATTAAGGATTTAAAGCAAGCTCTCTGTGTTCAGTGATGTTGATGCTAAGAAACTTAGTCTTGCTCTTAATAGGGGCTGTTTTGACATCTGCTGTGCTGGTTATTCCGTGCAGAAGCACAGCCTGGGTGGGTTCATGAGCAGGGCTGACCAGCCATGAACTGTAACACGTTTGTGCCCAGCCCTGGGGCACCTGAAAACACATTCAGCCTTGGAACCTACAAGTTCCCCTGAGTAACTAAGATCATATCGCTGTTCCATGGAAAAGGAGCAGAGTTCCACCAGGAAGAAGGTTTCCTCTGTGTGTTAGATCAACAAAACGGGGCCACCACAAGCTGTTCCTGCTCCTAAGCAGCATTAAGGGTGCACCATCTGCCTTGACAACCTGCCCTGCCCATGGAACATGCACAGCCAGTGCAGTTACCACCACCTGGGCAGTGCAGAGAGCTGCTTTTCCACTGCATTTGCTGCTCCCCTCTTCTAAACAAGCCATATTTCTACTTGGGACAGCAGAGTTCTCCAGCTTTTGTTCCTCCTGGAAGGGGATTCTAAGTCAGCAGGAGCCAGAGGTTTGTTTGGCTGAGCAGTGACAGCCCCCAGCAGGCTCTGCCAGGGGAAGATAAGCATGCTCAGAATCCCAGCCAGATGATTATCCAGGCTTAGAATGGACCATGTAAATTCAGCTAATTGTTTAATGACTTGGTCACTCACATTCAGTGGGCTTGGACACAAAACTGGCAGGGTCAAGAGCTGGGTTGTCTGGCATATTTAGCAGGAATAGTGCACTCCAGCACGGCTTCAGGAGCCTCTGGGATCGGGCACAGCTCCTGCACCCACCTGTAAGGGGGTGAAAGTGGTGCTGCCAAGCCCCTTTTAACCCACAGTTCACCCAGGACAGCATTTACAGCTCACACACACCAGGAGATGTGGGAATGGAACCAACCAGGATGTTGTGCGATGGCACATTCCCCCCACACCCCTGAACTCCTCTGGGAGCAACCCTATAAACACTTGCACAATAAACACTGGCAGACAAAGGGCAGCTGCTGTGATCCCCTCTACACTGATGCTGACAGCAGCAGGAGGCAACAGCAACTAGTTTCACAGAACTTGGCGTGTTCATCTCCAAAACCAGGCCCAAGCTGTAAAAGGCCGAGGGCAGGACACAGAGCAGATTGTTTGCTGTGTGCATCTGCACAGTGGTTTGTGCAGCTTCAGTCACACGTGACATTTCCTGTTGTACCAAGAGGTGGAACCTGGGAATGACCCAGCCAGGCTTTGTTCAAAGCAAAACCATCGTTTTCTGTGCAGGCTTTTGTTCGCAGGTGAAGCTGAAGTGTAAAGTATGTCACAAAGGTTTCTGATCTACCTGCTTCCCTCTGCCTTTATTTTTTAATTCACCGAGCTACTCAGTGAGAGGTTCTTCTTGTCACAAACATCTCTCTGACCACATTTTGTCCACGTCTTTCAGCGGTTGGGATAACAAAGGTTTAGAAAAACACAGCACCTCCCTTGACACACAGACTGAGCTTTGATCTCTGCACTGCTGGTTTCTGACTCTCCCTGTTGCCTGTGGTTTCTCCCTTGCAGGGCACAGCTCTTTGTCCCGGCCCAAGTCTCTGCTGGTGTCCTCTCCCTCCACGAAGCTGCTCACGCTGGAGGAGGCGCAGGCTCGGACACAGGCCCAGATCAACTCTCCCATCGTGGCAGACAGCAAGTAC